AAGAGTGTTTTGGCGTGATGAAACCTTGGGGGCAATGAGCAGATGAAATAACTTTTTGGCTATTTGGCTAGCTTCTCTCTGGAGGGTAGAAACTGCGAAGGAGAAGAAAGATGCAGAGGCAATCCAGTGCCATTTTCCAAGCTCTCTGTCCCTGGCATCACATAAGGGACCCCGCAAGCCCCTCTCTCATGCTGAATCAAGCTGGACCAGTCAGCTCCTTGGGCAGAGCTCATACCTTCTATCTTCTATCTCAGTGAGGGGCTGAAATCACCTCTGACTTGCACAGATCAGTTACAGTTTTACTTTCCATTACTGTCCCCTACATTAGGAGTTCACTTCAGCTACAGAGTAAAAAGAAAGCTGAAAAACAATTTTGACACATATTTTTTGACACAACATTTTGCAGAGGTAGAGTGAGAAGTGAGGGTCTCAGAAAAAGAATAAACCCTTCTAAGAAACTTCTCCCATTTTTCTCTGTTTCCTTGCCTCTGTTCTTCTGAGGCTGAGTATGGAAAAAGAGGAAGCTGAGCAGAAAAATTAAAATGAGACCTTTTTGAAAAATACTACCCTCTCCAAGTCTGCAAGATGCTTTCCAGAACTGATGAGCATTTCCAATAAAGTTACTTCGCTTTGAAACTTACTGTATAACATAACGGTAATTCATATATCCTGGAGGTCAAGGTGACTGTTGGCTCTTACCATGGTATTAAGTACCACGGAGTCATGCCATGTTTTCTTTTCCACCCCTCTCAGAAAGAAATACAGTTTTCTCTTTTATCTACATTATAACATTAGGTCTCTGATTAAATAGGATCTCTGACCTCTATAGATAGTATTCTCTTCTCTGTTTACATGTCAATAACACCATTGCTTTCTATTTCCAGTTCATCTTGTCTCTTAGGCAAAACCAAATTAAAAATCTCTAGTGTCCAGCTCAGTCCAACCCTACTACAATGTACATTTATTGTATACATAATATATATTTATAATATACATGTATTTATTTCATAGATATACACAGAGTCCTTCCTATATGGAAAATAACTCTTGCATATTATATATTCTTCATTCCTTTTTGATAAAGAAGTAATTCTGCAGGTATCTTATTTTTTCCACCAAATTTTGGGGGCTAAAGAAAGAGATTTTCTCCAACAAGCCCATTTTTTTTCTGTGTTGTTCAAATTTCTACAAATTTTTCATCTTGTAGGCTAGTTTTCTTCATCCCTTTTCTGGACATGACAATCTTCTTTGGGGAAGTATAGTCCTATGCCTACCTCTTTGTAAAGACTAAAATTGTTAACTCAATTTCGTGCTTCAATGGAATAGCAATCTTAATTGAGCTGCAGCCCAAAGCATGCCAAAAACATTTCAAGAAGATACTGGCAGGTTAGCATTAGACCTCCACAGAGAGGTTATTGCTTGCCACTGACGGAGTGGGGAATTGATCCTGGTTTTGGACACCAACTAACGTGCTTGCACTAGCCTAAGCAGATGGCGTCAGTTATGTCAGTGCATGTTCCCATTAGCCATAGGAACACCAGGATCTAAACCTTTATTTTAAATACGTGCTTTACAGAAAAGCAGAGAATTTTGCAAACTGTTACTTAGCCAGTCTACCTACTCCAGGGACTCTGTCTGAAATTCCAAAACATTTCAAACTCCCAGATGGCTACTTACTTTGTTTTAAAATCATCAACCGGAACTGAAACTGGGACATCCAAGCCAGAAAAAAAACTTCACTGGGGCAAGATCTAAACCTTCTCTGATCATGGATAGCCTATGAAACGTGTCAGAGATTCCATGAAAAGAGTACACAACGATAGCACTTCAGTTTGAGAAGACAGTCAAAAACATCGGATAAACATGCTAAAGGTTTGCAGGGAAAGTTGTCCTGTTAATATCTAATATCAGACATTTTGCAGAAAGTAAATCACAATAACTGTGATCCTGGAGGAAAACGCTAAAATCTATTCCTAAAAATCATGAAGGCAAAACACTTCACTACATCCCAGAGAGTTTGGTTTTTTTACTCTTTTAATTTAGCAGTAATAATGTCTACAATACATTGACTCACAAATTAAGTGAAGGTATGAAACCACATTCTTCATACTGAGATGGGACATTCTGGAGCTCTACTTTTTAAATACCCTCTCGAGAGGGAAGAGTTCTGAATGTCCAATAAACATCTTTTGAAACAACCAGTGGTGGAAATTTCAGTTTTAACAGTGATCATATTTAGTGAGCTTTGTCCATAGAGATCAAAATGCTTTGCAAACAAGTGCAAACCTCAGAACCTCACTGTACAGATAAAAGGGGAGGGAAACTGTGGAGGAGGCACAGTGCTGTGCAGTGACTCGCCAGGATCAAGCAGCAGGCAGCAGAGATCTGGACATAAATCTCAGCTCTCTAACTCCCAGTTAATTCCTGACTTGCCAGGCCACAGCCTCCCAGTAAGAGTAAGTGGGTATCTGCTGTCTAGCAGTTCATGTGTTATACAGGTATCTCTTCTTGCACCTCTCCTGCTGTCCCATTGGCTCCATTCAACCCTGCTGGCTCCCTGTCTTCTTCCTCTTCTTCCCGTTTTGCTGTCTCTGCTTCTCTGCCTCCGCTCAGGAGGGTGGCACTGGAGAGGTGGCTGAGGAGCTGGCCTTCCCGGCGAGACTCGGCCAGCTCTTTGGCACAGCACACAGGCGTGTTGGTCTCGTAAGTGCTGTGGAAGCTGTTATAGTCGACTTCGTAAAAATCCTTCTCCAGGGTGAGGACAGGAGTGAAGCGATGTCCCCACAGCACCTCGGTGTCCATGTAGGAGCTGCGAGCCTGGCAAGTCATCCCTGGGAAGAAACAGAGAGATGTTAAATGCAAAGCCTCCTTATGTGCTCACCCAACCACTTCTTTCACTTAAAAGCACTTCCATGTTATCTCCATACCTGATTGCTCTGGGACACAGAAAAGGTCTTCGCTTAATAAGCCTGACAAAAGCCTCTATCATGAAAAAGCTGAGCACTCAAAGGAAAAGGGATGGATTCATCGCCGCATCTTCAGGCTGTTTCCTGAACCTTGTGCTTACAGGTTTGAAGTCTGGTACGACTAAGCAGCTTCCCTCTGTCCTCACATCGCTCTGCTGAGGTGTTGCTTGTGTGGCCAATACTGACTAACAGTACATCTGGTGAATCGTGCTAGAATGACATCCAACCCTGCCAAGGAAGCTCAAATCCTGACCCACACAGCCCTGAAACAGAATGAAGCACTGCCCTGCACTCCAGCCCTCTTCATCTACAGCAGGATCAGCAACTCCCTCCTCTACTTAGGTTAAGACACCAAATTGTATAGCCAAAAGGTGGAGGGGGCCACAACCCTTAGTGATTTATATGGCAAGCTGGCTTTTAAATATCTCTGGAGGGTTCAATCCAACTGTATTGGGTTGGCAGAACCAAAACCCACAACGTCACATGGTCAAGCTCATAAGCATATTGAATTCCGTGTATTACATGGAATGCACATGTCCAGTGACACATGCAACACTTTGAGAAATTTCCAGTTCTGTTTCAGAGAGTGAAAAGCCAATTTTTCCCCCCAAGAAGATCTACAGGAGTATTTGCTTCTGGGCAGGAACAACAAGTACAGAGTTAGTCACAGCGTTCTAGCGTGCCTGCTTCCTGGACCAGAAGGAACCGGGAAGTGCAGAGGCTGCTATGAAAAATACAATAATGGAAGAAGAAAATTACCCCAAGTGTTTTTGCCTTAAGGAGAAGCTCTATTGAGGTACAGCATATTTTCAGGAAACTATCAGCTTTTGCTTTAAAAGTAAAAAACAGCACAGAGACCACTCCTGCCTGTATGCTTCAGGTGACACTACAATGTGCAGCATCACCTGCCCTGGACTCCTCGGTCCTCAAGGTGAAGACTGGTTAATCTTCGGTCCCTTATAGAATCGTAGTGTTAGAAGGGACCTTTAAAGGCCATCTAGTCCACCCCCCTGCAGTAAGCAGGGTCATCTTCAACTTGAGCGGGTTGCTCAGCTAGCATAGAGCAGCTCAATGTGCAGGCAGCTCGTGGAGTCCTGCTAGTTTTTCTCAGGAGCGCTGTGTCGCTGACACTTAAGCATACCGTTGGCCTCCCTGGGCAAGGGCTTGTTTTGAGGGTCAGGGCGGCAGGGCTAATCCCATTTTCTGCTGCTCCCTCACACTGGGAGGCCAGAATGTTAGATAGCAGCATGTGTGTGTATGGTAAAGAGACGGTTAAAATAAACGAGCCCTTTTTCCTTTAGACTGGTTTTGCACGAGAAATCACAAAGGCCTTCACGTATCCCCTCCAAGCTCTGAGCGCTTTCAAAGCTTAGCAAAGAGTGCAGGAAAGGAGACCACTCAGGCTCACAGGATTGGGTCCCGTGAATGAACCGGCTGATTCTTATCATGGCCTACCAAGTGCTGCATAAAGGTATCATGTAGAAGTCCCCAAGGCTTCCACACCAAGATGGGGTGTCCCAGCTAAATGTGGGAGCCTGGGGCATCCTAAGGGAACTCCTGCCTTACAACCAAGGCCTGAAATAGCTCCTTCTCTGGGGAGAGTACCTGACACAGTGAGCCTCAACTCCAGAGACACAGTCATAGTTATCTCCTGCTGTAAATATTCAATTAAGCAAGGAACAATAGAAAGCTTTCAGCAACCAAATACTGCACACTGCCAGCTTCCTGCAGTAGCTGCTTTCAGTAACCCCAGGGGTACACAGAGCCAGCGCAATAAGACAACTTGTAATTGCTCCATAATCCCATTCAAATATTCCTTTTTAGCACATGTGCAGTGGTGTTTTAATTGCGTGGGGACATACTGCTTGGCAACTCCTACGTTACCCAGTAAACAGCAGCATTGTCTCTGCTTCAAATTCCATTAAGTGCCTGCTTTGCAGGTTGCCCTGTGCTCTCCAGCCTGGTTAATTAATGCATCTGTAATGTCCCTAGCTAATTATTGCCTCTGTAACTGCAAAAAGATGACAGAAGAGGTGTGGAAACAATAAACCTTACTTTTATTAAGAGCACGTGGATGCAGCCACTTTCCACTTGCGTACAATGTGCGCTGTGCCCTCTGTGCTCTGAATAGCGAAGTTTCAGCTCGCAGTGGGGCGGAGTAATTCACTGAAGATCTTGCATATGTGGCTGTGGACTCTCTGCAAAAATCAGCGGTCTCATTGCGTAGGCCTTGCTTATCCGAGTCCGTGGGACACCTCGGGTGTAGTGAATCGTTATGTCGCATGCTCATACCCATCAAGAACCACAGCAGCTTTGCCGCTGCTGTTCTACCTCAGCGCAGTAGCACTGTCTTGTGCAACCCTACTGCAGCTGCCTGAAGCACTGACATTTCAGGGAGCCCAAGAAATTGAGGGAGATTTCAACTCTCAGACTTCCTTGCAAAAATAACTGTAGTATTTATGGACCTGATAAAGGCTTAAAGTAGATATAACTACACATCTTGGGTTTAAACGGTACAGATGTTTGGTACGGTTATAGAGAAGTGGTATTTGGTGTCTTGAGTGTTTCATTTAAATAAGCTTCATGCCAAAAGGATACCCTCATTTCGCCTTTGTCAGTCTAAGTAGATGTGCTTCAAAACTTATTTAAAAATAAAGTAATTGAGATTTATAATTTTCAAGTGTATCATATTTTCTGGAGAGTAAGACCATTAGAAGTTTAACTTTCTCTTGAACAATCTGGTTTAAAAAATGAAAAAGTAAGTTTAATATAAATTTGTACAATCTGTCAATTGTGGAAAATGTGAAATGATATGTGAAATCTTCAGCTTTCAAGTTTTAGTTACAGTTTTCTCATCTCTTAATTCAGCAGCTTAGCTTTCAAACAAAACTCAATTTTAATTGAAACCAGAAGAAAGTTCGTACAAAGCTATAAGCAGATGCACCAAATTTTCAATAAAGCTGGAACCAGTTCCAGGCTTTTTAGAAAGCTGGAGACCAGAGGACTGTCTCCTGGTTTCAAGTTCTGCAATAAACATTTCATAGAGTTTTAACAATAATTTCATTATAGCAGAATCCTAAGAAGTGGATTTTTTGTCTGTTGGCTGGAGTCACTATATCACCAGATCAATAACAGAGTTTGGGCATGTTCCTGTTTAAGGCAGCCATAGATGCCTTCCTAAATGGCTTGTTTCTGGTTTCCAGTAGATGAAAAGATGCAAAATATATTGGTATGTGTATTAAACCAGGTGTTTCATTACCTTCCAGAACAGAGAGAGTCACCGAGGAAAGACTGGTGTGTAAAATAGGTGTCAGGGAAATCTACCAATAGGGCACTTTTCTGTCATCAAAATCAGTTGGGATCAAGCAGCTTACATTTTATCAAAGACAAAGGAATGTTTATACGTGCTGACAAAAAGCAGTTATTTGATGGCTCACTCAGTAAGGAGCCTGTTTTTTCTGCAGCGTGCTCAATGGGAGTTGCAGATTTCAGAACGTTTCACTGCTTGCAGTGCCACTGATTATGCAACTGGAGCAGGCGCTTCTGGCTCTGCCACACTGCTAGGAAAAGTGGCGATTGCTCCCCATTTCCAGGTCTTGTATACCCTTAGGTTACCAGTTAAAAATCAAACTTTATTAACACAGGCCAAATCTAACTGCATTTGCAGCTGTTTGGTTATCCAGAGATGAACCAGCAGGCTCTCTCCAACTGTTGGAGGATGGATATTTTCATCAAACATACTGTCACAGCCAATACCTTCACTGGCAGTTTACCGGCAGAGGGCAAGGGGACCACAAAGCATGATATACCAACCCAAGAAATTGCCAGAGTCTTCAGTTTGATCGCATCAGCAGTATAGTTGAATCTTTCAGTACTGCCACACGGCCTGAACTTTCTCAGTGGGTAGAGATATCCCAGCCCCTGGGGCTGTCAAGACATTTTTCATCAGCCTAAAATTAACTCTCCTCATTTAAATGCCACAGAGCTCAGTGATTATCTGCTGGCAAAATGTCATGTGGATGCTGACTGTATGTTAGCCGTATTTGCTAGGCTCTCTCTGCAGTTCAGACACAGATATTGCTGGAAGTGATTTCACTTCTCTGTCCTTGTTTTCATACACTATTTTATGCAGGGTGACTTTTCCCCTTGTACTGGATACGTTAAAGCTGCATAATACATACTCTGCTCCTGGAGCTGAGCTCCACCTACACTACAAGAGTACAGAGAAAGAATTGATGGACTTGGAGGTATAGTGACAGACTGATATAAGTTAGGATGGCAAAGAGTAGTTATAAAAATTTTAAGTTCTATCACTCTAATTAAGCAATACGTGTCTTTAGATTAGCATCAGCATTTGGACAGTTATAAAATTTATTAGTCCTTTTGCATTAATTAGACCAAAGAACACCGTAACCTCCAAAAACTCAATATTCCTCCAACTTGAAAAGGAATATCAGAAGGTAGGAGCATGGTCCTCCAATTATTTGTGCTTGTCTCCTTTAGAGGAGGACATGTCTGGGCTTGATTCACTTTGATTTTTATGCCAGAGGAGTGTAATAGGATTTTAATTTATCTGAATGCTCTCCAGGCATGCAAAAGCTCATAAGTACTGGAAATGGAAGGGGAAAAAAAAAAAAAAGACCTTATGATTTAAAGATCTTTGATTGAATTGCCATTCAATTGCCACCAGGCAGAACCTGAGGCTCACACCGTTTAATTTTAGGCCCCTACAAAGGTATTTATAGTGACTGCAAAGGCACCTAGTTGCCTAGCCTAATGCCAATTAGGCCAATGCCTTGCCAATGCCTACCTCTGGAGGAGAATTCAGCTCATCAAAAGAATGACTTGAGACGTCTCTCTCTTCCCTGTAATTATATAAACAGTTTCTGTAACAGATCTGCAAGGTCCTTTTTGCAGAAAAGAATACTTATTTATATGCAAAATGCAAAACAAAACAAGATAATCCGAACCAGATGATAAATGGACAAAAACTCCATTTAGTAATTTCACCCTTCCTTTATTCTCCCATAAAAATCATGATTAATTTCAGGAGGTCTTATGTTGTGACTACTTCTTTTTGTCCTATATTTACAGCCAGGAAATTTTACTGTGTCCTCTGTAAAGGTGGATAAATTGAGGTTCAAAGCAGCTGGTGTTTGCCTATACTGTCACAGGGGCAGGATGAGGTAAATTACTTCTAATCATTAAAACACTTTTTATCACACAGACTCTAAACCAGAAATACATGTGCCTACCTTTTCCTAAGAGTTCACTAAAACTTCATTTAGTGACTTTAGTTCTTCACCAGAACCCAGCTGGCTCTGCACGCACATGGAAGGGGGGCGCTGACTCTCCACTGCTCTTCTCCGTTCCAGCAGCCTTGCTTTACACACTGTGTTCGATTCAGGATCAGGAGGGTAAGGGCAAGAGGTTTGGCCAGCAACAGCCTAGGCCTATTCTGTCAACAGGATGGCTCTAATTTTTGTTGCCACTGTGTGAAAGCAAAAATGTATTCACTTTGCAAACAGATTTTCCACATTCACTTTCTTCTCTTTTATTGCAGGTCAAATTTGGGCCAGCTGATCTTGACAAGTGTCCCTTTCAGATAAGGCAAAAGAGAATTAATTCCCTAAAGTAATCTCTGTGACCAATTCATTAAGTAGGCAGTGTGAGTGATGCTGCTGCTTTCAAGATGCCCACGAAGCAGCACTAGAAGTCATCACACTTGTCATCCATATTGATTTCATCTTTACAGTCGGCATTTCACTCAGCAGTCATCATAACAGATCTGCCCAGAAACTTAGTCTCCCCTTTGGCATTTTTTAACCTCACATGGAGTCACAGTGCCTCAGCTACACTCAACTGCTGATTGGAAAGACCTCTGTCAGTGGCTTTCTGCCACAGCCAGCTTCATGGGTTAGTTAGTAGAATAGCTGTGGGTCCCTGGAGAGCTTTCACTGTAATAATACAATGTTTATTTTCTCTTTTGGCAAAATAAAAACACTGCATTTTAGGCTGGCTGGTAAGTTGCCTGGGTGTTGCTACTCTTCAGTGTGGTGTTATTTATCCTTTTAAAACTTCAAGTCAACTTGAAAACAAATACATGGTTTTAAACCGCAATGTTTCACTTTGTAAATAAAGCAACTTGTAGTGTTTAGGAAATTCAAGACAACTTGAAAACAAAAACATTGTTTTAAACCACATTGTTTCATTTTGTAAAAAAAAAAACCAATTACTTGAATGTTTCAACTCTTCAGAATTTGTTCTAGACTTTGTATTTGAAACCATTTACCACCTTTGCCCTCCACTGGATCAGAATTAAACTGAAATGTCAGTGAGAAGAGTTACTTGTTTGAGAGGCGACAATACATTACATTTGTAATGTGTGTGTGGCTGGTTAAAGCTATTGGTCATAGTTATAAAACTGCTGTCCCAAATGTTTCAGTGAAAAATATTCACACTTTTAGGCAAGACATTACACTTGCATTTCTTTAGTCATTTGTACATTGACAATCACCATTTTGACCTGCTTTCAAAATACCTTAAGAAAAAATATAGCTGTCTTTTCCCCACCACCCCAGGATGCATTCATGGTAATGATTTTCTGTTGTCAAAGACTGAATGAGTTTCCATTAATTTTTCCACCTGCCAAGAACTGCAGAGCTGAGCCACCTCGGAGACGGCACACAGGACTCGCTTGCCTCTTGTGCCCCACGAACAGAGCTGTGTATGCTGGCCAGCTGTACCTCTGAACACTGTGATGGTGGGTCCTAATTTTTCATAGGGCTTGCTAAAGGAACAAATGGCCTGTCGCATTTTTATACTGCCCTGGACCTGACCAGGCTGTGACAGTGTCATGGTTTAATAGAAGTCACACTGAAAGTAGATTATACCATTCCTGAAAGCAGATGGGGCTTGAACAATACGATAGGAAGGAAAGAACTTGAAGAATAGCTTGGAGCAAATTTTAAGGTATGGAGGTAGGGATTAATATCGCCCAAACTGCTTTATCAACAGTACAAAGTGTGAGGACAAAGCAGGAAAGCACAAACACTGTGCTTCTGCAAGACACTTCTGTTGTAGCAAAATATCACACCCCGCCAGTTACCATACGTCATTCAGAAAACCATCTCGGGCCTCTGAATCAGATAATGGCATCATCTGACGTCCACCCTGCTCTAAGTTCAATGTAAAGTGGCTCTTTGAGCTCCAATTTTGGAATTTCACAGCCTGTCTTCTCAGACCAGAATAATTCATTTCCACAGATGTATGCTTCTTAATATCATTACACGCTGCCCTGTACAATCCCTCTGGGAGAGGACCCCATTTGTAAAGCAATATTATTCCTATGCCATGCTTTTCATTTTGAGGTTGTTATTGATAATGACTTCCTCTCACACACATCTAAGTAGAGGCTGTGCTTTCATAAGAGGAAGGCAATGCAGTAGCTGTTCAAAGAGAATTTGATAGTGTCACTGTGTGATGAGGAAAGAGGCTTTAGACAAACAAGGAACTACATTCCATGCTCAGATTAGGAGGTTCTAGTATCTACTGAATGTTTAGGCTACAAAATAAGCTTCCATTACAAATGTTTGCCTTTGATAGTCTTTTCCACCCACCCCTTCTTTTGCCACATCTCTACAATACTGTGCTGGGAAGGAATATTTGCCTAGTAATGCCAAATGAATTCCACTTCTACAATACAGTAGTCCATCCTACGTACAGTGTCATCTATACATAACCTCCCATTAGCTCTGTTTGGAAAAGTCAGCTATTGCTATCCACCTGACGACTAAAGGTTGATACTGGGAAGTTGAATTAGCTCTCTAGAGAGCTGTCTTTAAGAGCGAAGGTCTCAGATGCAGGAATTTGAGAGACTATTTCCCTTTATACCTGGCTGTTAGAAGACTAACAAGGACAATCTTAAGAAGGGGACAATATTAATAGTAAGCAAGGGCCAGAATCTGTGACACAAGGTGCTGATACCACTCATATCAAGCCAAAAATCCTTGCTAGTGTTTCAGAGAGAACCCATGCCTCATCAAGATGGAAAAAAAATCCAACCACCACCAATGGAAAAAACTTGTGTTCACAGTGCCATCTTGTAACTAAAACCCTTGAACACCAAAGTACAAAACTATATACTTATAAAAGCTTTTTTGCATCTCTGACTCTTTCTCTGTTTCCACATCTCTAGATAGCAATCCTCTCCGCAGTGCTGCCGGTAGCCCCATTTCCCGGATTCGACCAAGGCTTGCCACCAACCTCAGGCTCAGAAAGCCTGCCTGAAAGAAGCATCAGCATCTCAGGGTGCTTAAGCACACTTGCTGTGCTAGAAGCACAGCAGACAGAGCCTGCCAGCTCCCCCTCAAAGCCTAGAATAAATGAATTAGCTGGAATGGTAAAATGACCCCATGGTGCCATGTCTTTCAGGTGAGACTCCAGAGTAAAAGCATCCTCCTCACTAGCCAGACCCCTGGGAGATACACTGCATTCCGCCTGTGGAAAGGAGCGTGGAAGCCTTTGTGGCCATCCGTTTGTTCAGCTTGAGAGGCACATTGCCACCTCACTTTTCTACACTTTGGAAAGCTGAGGCACACACAACTTTTCCACATTTATTATATATGGACATAGGTTTCTTTCATCGCCTGCCACAAATACACCCATAGGAGGAAACCAGGAGTCAGCTGAGTATATCTCCTAATCTACCCATTACACAGCATTGTTTTATGCTGTTAAACAGCTGCTGGGTTCCAAGAGTCACAAAAGCAGTTTCTGTATTTTTCCTCTTTGAGCTCCTTTTGAAAATATATGTCCTGCATCACATGCAAGCCATTCAGCTTCGGCACGTGCTGTTTTATGGGATATAGTAATACTTGGGCACTTCCTTCATAGCCTCCATTAAAAAGCAACGCTACAGCAATACCTAAAATAGCACAGTTACAGCCAATTTTTAATACAGAGGAGAAATGGAAAAAGATTTGCGCCATGAATTTTGATCACAGGAAACACGACCACAAGAGACCTCATGAAGTCCTTTAGTCCATTCCCTTTTTTCCATGGATAAGTTCTAAGTGATTACGGACAAATCCTTTACTAACCCCTTCATCTGAATTCTGGACTTATAAAAAGAGGGTGAAACACTACATGAGCTAAAGGACCTACCTTTTAATTGCTAGTTATCTCAGACTACAATATCCCACCTGAATCAGCCACTTCTAGGACAAATCCCAATACATTCTCAGTCCAGGTGACATTGACAGGAAGATCTTAATGCCAAACTGCCCTCCATTTTTCCCCTACCCCCGCTCAAAATTGTGACTGATTTTTGACAAGTCCTTACCTGTTGCTTCCACCATTCCTTCCAGGATGACCACAATTTCAAACTCTTCCTTCTCCAGTTGGGTGCGGGACATCTCCCAGAAGGGACTTTTCTCATTGATTTCATGCGAGATGATAAGAGGTGACACCAGGAACAATCTGTCATCTCCAGTGTCAAATCCCACGTTGATGTCCGTTTGGTTCAAGGGAATGAACTCTCCTTCTTTGGTCTGTTTGGACTTAATCAGTTTGGCTCTAATGGAAGCTTCGACAATGTGGGAATTGCGGAGGTCTCCAACCCGGAACATGAGACACAGCTTCTCATCCCTCATGGAAATAACTGCGTTGTTAGAAAACATGAGGGTTTCAGCCCGCTTCTTTGGTTGGCTGATCTTGACAAACATGCATCCCACCATGAATGCATTGACAATGGAGCCCAGAATAGCCTGGATCAGGAGCAGTACAATACCCTCTGGGCACTTCTCTGTTATGACCCTGTAGCCATACCCAATTGTTGTCTCAGTCTCGATAGAAAACAGAAATGCGGAAACAAATCCACTGAGATTTTCAACACAGGGGATCCAGTTCTCATCTTCAAGATGGTCCAGGTCTCCCCGGATATAGGCAATGAGCCACCATATGAACCCAAAAAACAACCAAGTGATGGTATAGACCATAGTGAAGACAAGAAGATTAAAACGCCACTTGAGGTCCACCAGCGTAGTGAAGAGATCACTAAGGTATCGATAGGTTTCTTGGACATTTCCATGGTGCACATTGCATTTGCCACTTTTCTCCATGTAACGCTGACGTGGCTTCTTACCTTCTGCTGATATGAGGCGGGTTCGGTCAGTGGCAATGGGGGCATCATCCCGGGCCTGTTTGGGAATCTTCTTAGGCTCTCTGGATGTAACTCCGATGTCCATGTCCTGGTTCATGAAGATCCTAGAATCTCCGGCCATGGCTGGGCTGCAGGAGAACAAAGAAATAAAGTTTAAGATAAGAGGAAAAGAGCTGAGACAAAAGCCATTTCATTTTACTGCCTGAACCATTACGACAGACCAGGACAACAAACATTGCAAATATTAACGGTACACTGACAAACCTTGCCCCATGCTGGTACAGGGCTGGAGACAGGCTGATCCTACATTAGGAAAGCTTTTTGCTAGGGCCATGTCTTTCCTCCTAGTTTTGTTTTGGGAAACACTTTGAAAGGCTTCAACACTTCTCCCACAACAGCCATTTGCTAAATATAATGCTGCATTGAACTGGATGTTAAATACAGATTCATAATACACGGTCTCTTCAAACATGAACCAGCTGCCAGTCACTTCGCTTAATGCACTTCTGGAACCTCAGAAAATACAGGGATGAGCACGGTCTGGAAGTCATGAAATAGGTAAACCTTGTTACAGTTGTGTGGGATTTTTTTTTTTTTTTTGGTCCTCAGGGTTTTTTTACACCCAGAATTCGCTTGAGATCACAACTAGAAGCAAAGTAAAGATACATTAACATATATTTTCAAGAGGGACTGGAGCTTTTTGATGCCTCAGGTGCATACCAAGAGAAACCTTAGAGATTAATAGAAAACGCTGAGCACCACTGTCTACCTAAATCTCACATGAGTCTAAATTATGCATGAAGGTTTCCCTTACAGTCAGCAGAGAAAGGCACCTCCAGGGATAATTCAGATTTCAGGTGTGCTGAATCACCTTCTGGAAGTACCCACAAATTATTCTGGGAGCCTGGGCTCCAAATGTGAAATAGGCTTTTAGTTTAGCATCTTGAATTACATGTCTGAAGGTGTGATGAACTCAGGCCTACTGTTAATCAGATCTATCAGAACCCACCCCTTTACTTCATCTGACCTTAGATGAAAATACCAGACACTTTCAGAAATGTAACAGACAGCTATTAAAAAGCCCATTGTCAACATGCAAAACTATACTTAACAAGATACAAATAAATAATACAAAATGACAGCTGCAATGATTTTTGCAGGTTATAATGTAACATCCTGTTTACTGAGATGATTAGATACTCCTTTAAAAAAACCCACACATGCTCTATTGAAAAATGAGAGTCTTGACTCTGAATGCAGGGCACAGACAAAATCTCTGTGAAAGACTACCTAAGAAGCCTTAGGGATATCAAAGATAGAGTAGCAATATTCTCTATGGCGTTCATTCTCTGCATTGTCCTCTGCAAATCCTATTAAAACGTAACTAAATCTATTACTACTCCCTCTATCTTTAATCTTCTTATGTGTCTGTGAATGAGAAAAGGTGTAGAGATACAATTAAGAGTATCTTGGGAAAGACAATTTTAAGATTGACCAAAGTAGCTTCATCTTTTTGGTATTAAAAAGCACAAAGGGTGGGCGGGAAGGAAGCAGAGGCAGGATGAATAAATGAAGCAACAAATTTCCACTTCCATTCTGCTGTAGCCAAGTCTGGTTAACAGCAAAGAATTGCTCGTAGCCCTTGTATAAGTCACCATCAATCATTACTCCAATGAAGCAGCCAGAGCCTGTTGCTGGAACCATACCCGCTGGCTCTGTTCACTAGGGAGCCCAGCCATCTGTCCACAGCACAGTCCCAAAGCTTCTTTTGTGCTGGCAAATTCACCTGGTTTGAAGGGTTTGGGCCAGGGCTGAGCCAGTCCAGCCACAGGAAGGGGTAAATAATAAGGATTAATGAGTCTGGGCTGGTAAGTTAGGAGGAATCAGGTTTGCTGCCCCCACTGCATATGATCCCGGACGTGGGACAGATAACCCCAGCACTGTGCTGTTCCCTTCCTCAAACAGCAACATCAAGGATTGTGGCAGAATATTAATCCCTACCTCTATTTCTTTCACTTCTGAAGGTAGGACTCCTGAGAGCTGGCTCATGGTATATTTAGATATATCTTCAGCCATTTTCTACTACCTGTTGCAAATTCAAATCTCCTGGACCATTGGTCTACTTCTCTGATACCTTATGGTGTGTGTCTGTTCACATGCGTGCTCATGGTCTGCGAGATGCTGTCAAATCATAAGGGTACATATGGACTCTCTCTTCACAACACGTGAAAGTACATGCCAAGTGCAAGTCAGAACAATCACACACTTGGGTTTTCACCACTTTTTGGGGAAAGAAGCATCCCATCCACTGACTTCAACAGAATTAGGTACAGAGAAGAACCTCTTCACTTTCTTCTTATGACAATTACTTTTGATCTTTGTTTGCATCGATTAATCTAAAACTACTCCATTTGGACTAAAAAGCTGTTGATCAATCTATCTGTAGAAATGTAAAAACAGGCAAGTGTTACATGTTTTCAATTAAAAAAGAACTGTTTTAAAGATAATTTTGTTATAAAAGTTATATTTGAAGCTGAGTTCCACTTATACTGACACTACATAAGAGAGAACAATCAATTTCTATAATTAATATAATTAATCTATATAATTATATAGAGTAATATAACTAATCTATAGTGTAAGGTTTCATATTTTAGATTCATACCAAAGAGACCAAAAGGATCTTGAAACATATTAAAAAGAACAGAACAGAATAAAAACAATCAAAAAGCCTAAATCCCTAGAAATATCACTCTGGTGAAGCAGGCTAGAGGGACTGTCCATTAATGAAAGTATAGGGAAACGTGCTTTAACTAAAACACTCAAGGGACTGGCAGCATCACTTTTCTAATACTACTGATCTTTAACAATAGGTCAAGCGAAATCTTTCCGGAAACCTTCAGGAACACCTTACAAGTGGTCCATTAAAGCAGAAAAAATTCCTTCTGTATATGAACTTTACTTACAGCTTCAGTGGTGTTACAATTTCTGCTAATATTTAATCTTAAACTCTCCCGTCATAGTGTAAGCATAACCTCAGTATGTGGTTATTGAAAATAATTAAGCAGATGAATCTTTGCATTAGATTCTTTAAAAGGAATAATACTGGTTAGCACAGGTTTGGATGTCTGAAGACTAGCCAGCTTTCTGTTCCAAATGATTTCTGTATTTTTTTTCTAATTCTGAGCGAATCACTTCTTTTCCCTCTGCCTTAATTCCCCAACTGTAGAATTTGTGATACGGATATGAATAGTCTGTGAGATCCTAGGCACAAGAATCTTCTAGGAAATTTGCTATTGTTCCCTTATTAGTTTAACTGCTCTGGGAAACTTTAGCACAAATGACAAGATACTAGAAAAGGAACACTGTACCTATGAAAGGATTTGGTTAACTCCTTCATCGTGTAACACTGCTATCAAGCATACACATCTTTTCCAGATAATGGTAATTGCGTGCAAGCATCTCACAGAGATTTAGACTTCAGTTGGTAAGTCACTGCTCCCTCCAGCAAAGAGATCTGTGAGATGAAATTGCCGTCCTGGTTCATTGGCATTTACCGTCTTTGGTTAAACGAGACCAGGATAATAAAAACGTCACTTTTGTACAAAGCTGCTTTCCTCTTGGACAGGCTACTGCAAAAGGAGATGTGAGTCAGTGTACAAAGAGGCTTTTTATCAGACTTGCTGTTGCTCCGCTTTTGCTCAGATTACAGACTCGGGGCAGGTGGTGACATTTAGGGCTCTTAGATTTGCTGAAGAAGAGTCAAGCTGGGGTTAGCTAAGTATCTTCAGGAGGCATTGTTTTGCAGAGCTGCCTACAAGCCCTGCCTGACACAGCTGATGTACCTCCTGATAGCTCCAAGTCTTCAAGATAGAAATTTGCTGAAGATATTGCAGAAGGTAAAACAAAAAAAAGTCTGCAGGAAATATCTGCAAGAAACTTACTTCCCCTGCTGACCACAGTGAGTTTTTCAATTTAAATAATCACTGATCTCGCTTAAATAAATGCAGGATAGGATTTGCTTCTGGAGGGGTCTACACTAGCAAGCAGGAGGAGTCTGAAGACATTAATTTGTCATCAAGTTTGTGTAAAAAAACTAATACTTATTTTGTTTGTTTTAAACCTGATCCCCATGTTTTCTTGCATTATGAGAATAAATGAGCAATTGTTAGTTTAGTAAACCCCCAAAACACCTTCCCAAATCAGGATTCTACTTAATTCTGTCATCTCTTTTCCCAGACAGAGGGTCCTATACCACTCAACAAGTGATCAATACAGCAGTAAATACTAAACAGATCATTACTGGAAAAACTTGACCTGGTTCTTTTGCTGCCTGTTGGCCCACAACACATAAAACAGAGCCTAGGTTACTATTCCCAGATGCCTCTGAGGCATATATTCTCCTTTGGGTTACACTGCTGCAAGGGAACAAAATTCTTAATTGACAGACACTGGCAACATAGGAAAGTTGGTAGAGGAATAGAGCAAATTAAAGCAGTAGCACCCAAGGAGAATAAAAGCATTGATCACTGAACACTGAGTGCTAGTGGAAAGATGGAGGAAGAAGAAATGTTAGGAAAAGATGGCCTTCAACAATCTGAAGATAAATGGCTATTAGGTAGGTGCTGACTGACAGGTGGGGCTTTGATTTCCCTGAGAAAGGCATCTTTCCCACTATCCTTTTATTTACTGCCTCTGTGTGACTGAGACTGAACAGTCAACACTGCCAACATGAGATTACCTTTTGAGGCATACATACGCATGCGAGAAAAAGAAAGGCAGGTAGATTTTGTGTGAATCACGTCATCTTTCAGTTGTCGGATGTATGAATAGAAATTGTGGTGGCTGCCTCTTTGGAAAGTGCTTGGAGATCCACAGGCGGAGGGAATGATGCAAAAGAGTTATGCTATTCAAAACCAGGGCAAAACATTTAAGGAAGCTACACAAGAAGGGGGACCCATGGCATTTCACTAATAAACATGTGGTTCAAAAGCTCCCTCACCCAATTAATTGCTTTTCAAAGTGTAATCTCACTCAGAACTGAAGTAGGAAGATGCTTCTCATTTCCTCTTCGAGTTTTCATTAAGTCACAGCATTGCTTTTTTAACACGCTGACAGGCATGA